TCGTTCATATTTTGTAATTTGCTGTAATGTGGGCCATTCAATTTCTTTCTGTAAAATATACGTAATTATATTAGCACCGCCGTCCGGCGGGCGCTCGACTGCAAATCCAAATTTTTTTGCTTGACCCAGTCGTCGACTCCTAGTATATAGAAATTACAAATTAATAAAGTAGGTATATTAAAAACCGTTAAAAATTATAAACTTACTCACGGGTTATATTATACTTACTACTTCAGGTTTATTATATTTTTATACTTAAATAGTATAATTATGACATTGTTATCAAATAAAATGAAGTCCTTGATTAAAAAAAATGTATTCTATAGACGTTTTTTTATGAGTGCTGCAGTGCTAGTATCAAGATCCGGACTTTCCAAATCAGTCATCCACGCGCTTACTCTGAGTTTTAAGGACTTACGGAATTCATTCCAATTCGTTTTACTCCAGTCGTATTTTACGAAAGGATCTGTCCTGTCATTCAGGCGCGCACAGTTCTGTGTGACGTCGAAGCTTATGATCGCATGATCGCTCGACGTCAAATTGTGGACTGCGGTCCAGTCCGCCACATTCACGCCGTAAGACGTAAGGGTCACGTCCAAGCACGCAGACCCACGATTTATAAATGTATTCACACTGCCCGCTAGGTTATTTACGGTAAGGTTTTTCCGACCTATGAGGTCCACGACCATCTCTCCGCGGTCGTCCGAGAGACGGTCGTGCCAAAGCGTAGACCGTGCGTTCACGTCCGCGCAGACTAACACGTTGCCGCTTACCGAGTCCAGTACGGATTCGAGCGCGTCAACATGTGTCTGTGTTGGTTCCGAAAATTGAAAGTATGCTGATATCAGCACTAAGCGGAGATTTCCAACAGTGAACACGGCTACGGAAATATGGGGGGTACTGAGATGCTGCAAACTCAGGATGCCGACTGCGGGGTTCGCGACGACGATGGCGGCTTTAGGCCCGACCCCGCTCGCTACTACCCTGTACGACGTCTGTCGAACAGATAGATCCCTTTACAGTCGGTGGCTGGCTCTTGTATTAAGCAGACGTCAATACTTCTACTCGACAATAGCCCTTCAATCTCATGCATCACCCTCTGTGATCTCCTCGCATTGATTTGTATGACTTTAATTGTCGTCTATCGTCACCAGTTATTTCAAGTCTACAGGAGTCGGTATCGGTTGTGCTACTATCCGACCCTGCCGTTCCTTGGCGAGAGCCTGTCTCATTTTGAACTTGTGCGCCATCTGAAAAGGAACAAATTGATTCACGCTGGTTAAAAACCTTTCCAGTGTGATATTTGCAAGACAAGACACAGGGATTTATCAAATCTCAAGTGTCACAACATATGTTGGCACTTGGCTTCCAAACACAAGGCCTTACATTTGCGTCATTGATGAATGTAAGGAAAGACCAAAAGCTTTTAAACAAAAAATCATATTTTAAAATTCATTGGTGGTGTTAGGAACCCCTTGTTCTTATAGTAATATAATATAGGTAACGTAGAATTTAGATGGGTAAGCACTTTTGTAAGACGACGTCCGTCGCCATCGAATAATGCATAGTACAAATAGTCTTTATACTCGATTACTGTGTGTACCTACGTTTTATCTAAAAAATAAAACTATTAATATAATTTTAATACATTTCGTTAAAATTCAATTCCTGTAATAATAAGTTTCAATAGCGTACTGTAGTATTTTCGAGAGAGCGAACTAATTCTTTAACAGAGGATAACAACTCAAAATTGACTACGAAGGAACAAACCCAAGTAAGACATAACAGTGGGCACACTGTGAAATCAGATACATATGTGACATGTGTCACAAAACTTATTCCACAAATGGCAATGTGAATAGGCACAAGAAACATATACATAATGTTTTGCCCAAATATAATAAATAAAAATGTGTTTAATTTTATTGAATTATTTTATCTTTGCAATTCATCTAATGTAGTTATACATTTACTTTTATTTTGAGCAGACCATGAGTCAGGGTAAAGGTTGAGTATCGTGGGATGACTCTGTTTTATACTGTTCTTCAAGAATATTAAAATAGTTTAGACCATTGCACCATCTGAAATGGAACAAATTGATTCACGCTGGTGAAAAACCTATCCAATGTGATATTTGCAAGACAAGACACAGGGATTTATCAAATCTCAAGTGTCAAAACATGTGTTGGCACTTGGGATTCAAACATAAGGCCTTACATTTGCGTCATTGATAAATTTTAGAATTCATTGGTGGTGTTAGGAACCCCTTGTTCTTAAAGTTATATAATATAGGTAACGTAGAATTTAGATGGGTAAGACTTTTGTAAGACGACGTCCGTCACCATCGAATAATGCAAAATATTGATATTAGTAAAAACAAAACACTTCACCCCTGATTTCATTAACACTCACGTCCGATGACCGGCGACGCATTCGACGAATGTCCATTTGAGGCGCGTGAAAATTTTGTGTCCCTCGATGTGCCCGGGGCATACTTCCATTGTTCTTGGTCTGAAACAGTAACGTTAAATTATAATCGTTAACTCGTTAGGTGAGTATAAACGGTACATACCCGACTCGTCCTCGGTGAACTCATAAGGGTCAGGCGATGGAACAGCATTTCCATCATTTTCGTTAGCTGTAAATTAATAAGTTATTATAAAATGTATTAAAAAATTCAGGAAGATAACACTTACAGTTTGCGACGTCTAACTCGTCATCGTCCAACCACCGAGTGTGTGTATTAACGGGGAGTTATTCATCGGCCACGTCATTGGCCATATTATCATCCAACGGTTTTTCAGCTGTATAATATTTCATTACTTTATACCTTACTACACAGGAAAGTCCAAAAATTAACTTCAAAAATATTTTACCTTTAACGAGTGGCCTTGACGAATAAGCCGAGCGTTTGTGGACTTCCACCAAACGCTTCACCAACACTGGCTTACATTTTCTGCCTTTGAACACAACTAAAAAAAAACAATATCAATAAGCGATTATAGTTAATGACTAAAACTATTATTCATTATAAAATAATTTTACGATGTTACCTTTTTCTGGCATCGATTCCTCCAACACGACTAACTTTTTAGAGACGTCCGGCACACTCGTCTCTAAAACAACTAATGGTTTTCCACCCGAAGACGGTGTTGGAAGAGACCCTAAAATTTTAACAAAAATATATAATTCAATAATTTATACCTAACGGATGAAAAAAAAATTGACAATTCACCTTTGATCTTTTCAAAATTTTTGAGGGCCTTTTTCAAAGTTGTTCTAGGGACCTTGCATTCCCTAGAAGCACCGTTGACGGTAAATTTCATTTTTTGCACCAACATTATTGCCCTCGATAATTTTTCATTGTTTTCGACTTTAATATAGCCTCTAGATGCCTATAAATTTACAGAAACACAAGTATAAACCCGTGTATTGCAAAAGAGAAAATAACTTACTTTTTTGGGAACGATTTTCAATTTTTTGACCAGCTCCCTTAGAGTGGTCTCGGGCACCCCGTGGCCTTTGGCGGCCTGACAAATCGACAGATTTCCCTGTGATATGGCGTTTAACGCACTTGTCACGTTCGCTTTAAACATGATCTATAATGCCAAGTAGAAACATACGATAACTTATGGGAACTAGAATATAGAAAGCGTATAAAGACAAGTCGGTTCGTAGTGGCATAGTCACCTACGGGGACATTCGAAACGTTCAAGGAGCAGCCGCCCAGTAAACAGATTTCGCGATCGTGTAAGAAAAAAGACAGTCACTATGAAGTCTATTTAGACGGGCTACAATCGACGACGGTGATTTGGATATCAAATTTTTCGAATATAAAATATAATATAAACTAGGACTATCCTAACCTAACAAGACCGATTCACGGGAATGGAGAATATATTAAATATACTTATAAATATTTAAATAAACCTGTAAAAAAAAAATCAAACTACTTAAAAGCAATATAAAAAAATTGCAATCACGCTGAGTGAAGACTTCCGACCGAAACAAGCCAACTTTCGTCGTACATATTTTATCCACGCGATCACAGATACCTCATTATTCACTGTCGGTAGTTACTAAATTTTTTTTTTTTAACTATCGGAAAACTCGACGAACAGTCTGACAAACGGTGCAATGCCGGAAGTACTCCAACTATTGCCCTATGGAATGCGACGAGTGAGACGGCCGATGCAATGCCGGAATTACTCCAACTAATACACCATTGGTCGCCTCACAAACCGTTCGCCGAGTTCGCCTCAAGCCGTGAAAATATTTCTCTCGTCGGAAAAAAATTTGAAAATAAAAATGTCGACAATATAATGAGATATCCGCTACCTGCGAACGACGTACTCGTTGGAGTCCTTCAGTCGGTATAGAAAAATAAATTATACATTATATAAATTTGAGAAATGACGTGTACGGAAATATTATGTCAACTGATAGGGACAGTGTACTCGTATATACCGCGAAACTAGCGCTGTGACAACGGCAGTTCGGGCAACAACATTTTCGAAATTCGTTCGCGACACTAGCGCTACAACGACGACGGCGGTTCGGGTAGCAAAATTTTCGTATTTCGTTCGCGACACTAGCGCTGCGATCGACGACGGCGGGTCGGGTGGCAACATTTTCGTATTTCGTTCGCGACACTAGCGCTACAACGACGACGGTGGTTCGTGTAGCAAAATTTTCGAATATTGATCGAAATCAACTCCGAGACACTAGCGCTGTTGAAATTGTCCCCGTCATGAGGTATCATTTTAAGGAAAAAAAAAATTTCGAAGATCGACTCACGGGGACTATATTCGGGAATTTCGTGGGTTGAAGCGGAGTATTCATTTTTTTTCAACGCGGTCTTCGGGATTGACATTGTCCCTCTCATGAGGTCTCTGAAGAAAAATTTCGAGACGGCTGCAGGCCGTCGATGAAAATATAAAAATTCGAAAACCTACTCACGGGGACAAAATTCGGGAATTTCGTGGGTTGAAGCGGGGTATTCATTTTTTTTCCACGCCGTCTTCATGGTTGACATTGTCCCTCACTAGAGGTCTCAATACGAAAAAATCGAGATTGACGTTCGATAAAAATATAAAAATTCGAAGACGGCGGTTCGGGTAGCAAAATTTTCGTATTTCGTTCGCGACACTAGCGTTGCGATCGACGACGGCGGGTCGGGTGGCAACATTTTCGAATTTCGTTCGCGATACTGGCGCTACAACGACGACGGTGGTTCGGGTAGCAAAATTTTCGAATTTCGTTCGTGATACTGGCGCTGCGATCGACGACGGCGGGTCGGGTGGTAACATTTTCGTATTTCGTTCGCGACACTAGCGCTACAACGACGACGGTGGTTCGGGTAGCAAAATTTTCGAATTTCGTTCGTGATACTGGCGCTGCGATCGACGACGGCGGGTCGGGTGGTAACATTTTCGATTTTCGATTTTCGATTGATCGAATTTGTCCCCGTCCTGAAGTCGTGAAGTCAGGGAGAATTTAAAATAACCGACTCACGGTAACAATATTCGGTAATTTCGAAGATTGAATAAGGATAATCATTTTTTTTGTCCCTCTCAAGAGGTCTCTGAAGAAATATTTCGAGACGGTTGCAGGCGGTCGATGAAAATGTAAAAATTCGAAGATCGACTCACGGGGACAATATTCGGGAATTTTGTGGGTTGAAGCGGAGTATTCATTTTTTTTCCACGCCGTCTTCGGGGTTGACATTGTCCCTCACTAGAGGTCTCAATACGAAAAAATCGAGATTGACGTTGGATAAAAATATAAAAATTCGATGACCGGCTCACGGGGACAAAAAAATGAAAATACGATTTGACACCGGATACTCGCGTACACTCGGTGCGTAGCGGTACGGCGTCCTCCGGGGAGACGAACGGCCGTCAAGGGAGAGTCGCCGGGTAGCTGTCACCGCGGTCCGTGATATTTCTCAACAATCGGTAACCGGACATCTGAAAACGGAATCCGGCGAACGAGGACCGCCTGCTGTCAACCCTGGAGACGGCGACGCGAGAAACCAGGTTTATACGTTTCAATCCTGTAATCCCCGAACCTTGTCCCTGTGATATTTTCGAATATTTTCGTTAGTCAACTTTGAGAGCTTTCGAACGCCGGCTTTGAAACTTTCAAATCTGATTGCAAAACCAAAATAAAACGTAAATGGACTGAGGTCGGAAACGGCTAGAACGAATATTAAACGAGATATCTAGGTTGTAAAAAGTTCGGAGACGATCAATCGTCAATGGAGAGTACCGAGGCGTCGGTCCGATGAACACCCGTACGTTTTGGATTTCACCGTGCATAATTCCATCCTCATTTTCCCAAAAATATTGTCCCCGTCGGTAAGCATTCGGTCGAATTTCCCTAATTGTTACTAAAGATGATACGGTATCATTCGAGGCAATGTTCTATCCCGAGGTCAATACCGGATACAAATGTTCGAGGCAATGTTCTATCCCGAGGTCAATACCGGGACGCAAATGTCATTCCAGGGTAAACGACGATTCCCAAACTTGAAACGTCAGTCCCGTGCATTGGTTGTGGTTTCAGGAAAACTTGGCTTGGCTCTTTCAACGTCTCAGTTATCCTCGGCCCGTGATACTGCCATAGGAATTATCCGTTTAAATAATATGGATTGAGTAACGGCGTTTCAAGGGTTGACTATTTTAGAACTTAAATTAGTTTCCCTAGAAAGACGAATTTCAGAAGAATCAAATCTGGGAGTTACCAATTGACTTTGTACCTGTGAGGACGTCTGATAGACAGAGTCACGGTGCCTAATGGAGCCTAACAGGGTCTTCTTTCCGCGCTGATTTTTCCAAGCCCGTTCCCTTGGCTGTGGTTTCGCTAGATAGTAGATAGGGACATGAGTGTCCAGGGTTTAATGCCTTTCAGCTACAACTATGGACCGTGTATTAGCGCTGTGCACTAGTTACGAGCCATAGAGGTTCACCCGTGCGAGGGTGGCAAGCGCCCCCGCCCAAGCGTGTCGTCTATGGACCACCAGCACCGGGGCCGTAGCCCCGTACCAGACGGCACAGGTCTGGAGCCACCTAGTACCACCTCTGGTGAGGACGTGACCTATCCCATCACTTCCCGTTTATGGTTACGGGCAACCTCCGCTAATTGTATCCAACGGTAGACCGGTTGAGTTTCCAGGAGAAACTGCCACGCCAAAGGAATTCTCACCCCCTTGACGGTACAGCCAGATACTTTTACTGGGGGTACCATCAGATTTCCTCCGTTGAATGGCCTGGTCCGCAGCTACGGACAGTGTTCTGTTAATGCCCATGGCCGTGGATTCAATCGAGGATTCCGAAATTCCACCAATTTCGCCAAGGAGAGCGGTCTTAAATTTATCCCAATCAGCCGTCTTAAGGATATAGCGTTTTTCGTGGGACGCAGGCTTTTTATAATTGGTCGTTTTTACTGTAAAGGCAATCACCCTGTGATCGCTATCAGTGAGGTCACTGACGGACCAGTCCTTTATTTTGTTTTTCATATTTTCAGTTGATAAGGTAACATCTATGTTTGATGTGCGGCCATCGCGCCGACAGAACGTATTCATCTGACCCGCAGAGTTGTGGATACAGAGGTTGTGTTTTTCGATCAACTGTTCGGTTAATCTGCCCCGGCGATTACGAGAGGTCGAATGCCAACGGGGCGAATGACCATTTGTGTCCGCAGCAATTAAGGCCCGGGTGTCGATTGTCAATATTTGTTCTAGGCGCTCCAGATGGGTGATTGTTGGTATATTGTATTTGGAGTATGACGACACTAGAACCACGTAGTCATAAGGCCTGTTACCATACGTAACCTTTGCCGCTGCTGTATAGTCAGAGGTGAACTGATTGAGACCAATACATTGAAAACGGTCCGATAGAGCAATAACGGCGGCTCCTGATTTCTTGCTGATGTGGCATTTACAGCGTTCGAAGGCATATATTTTGCCGTTTGTGACCAATGGTTCTTGGACAAGAACGAAATCGACTCTGCGGTCTCTGCAAGCAGCTCTGAGTTGGTGGCTGGCAGTGCGGTCTCTGTTTAAGTTATGCTGGATGACTTTTAGCATATTAATTTGTGATTTTTACCGCAAAGTCCGTTCGGCGGGTAATAGTCCTTATAGCCCGTTCTCTCGCTATGAAGGTTTTGCTCGAGGCTAGGTGAGAACCCTTACAGTTGGCGCATTTGATTTGTACGCTTTCGCAGGTTCTGGACTCATGCGACTGCGCGCACTTTCTGCAGATTGGCTTATCCGCCTTGCACGAACCGGCGATGTGGCCGAAACCCTGGCAGTTGTAGCATTGCGTAACTTGGGAATGAACCTTCATCTTGCATTTGGTGAGGCCCAGGTAAGCGCTCTTCCCTTCGAGTTTGCTTAGGATGTCTGGGTGGACCTCACAGACCCAGTGCACAACATGGCCATCACGGGGACCCAGTTTGAATAGCGGTTTCACCTTGTCAATGTCAGAATCGACGAGCTCCAAGCCCGGGTTCTGATTGACAAGTGCCCAGGGTATCTCGTCGCCATCGAGCAACCTGTCGACATACTTGACTATTAGCCTTGGTTTGCGGGGCTGAATTTCCTGGAGGTGAGATGTGCGGCGCAGAGCACCAGCGGTTACATCGTCCTCCGGAAAGAGGATTAGGCCATTCCTTGATCGGACCGAACGGACTTTCGGATTTTTAATCTTTTGCTCAATAGATTTGCGGACTTCTATCCAATTCTCGCCCTCCACCGTGACCTCAAACCTAGGCCCAACTTTTACGGCTCTGTCCCTTGCGTCGTCTTTCTTATTATTTTTGTTTTTCACCTTTTTCTTCTTGTTAGCTGATATAGCTACCGCGGGCGCAGACGTGGCGCTGGCTTTTTGGCCGGTCTTAGGTTTGACTGGTCTCGCTTGTTTCGGAGTTTCGAGCCTAGGAAATTCATCACGATCCTTTTTCTTTTGACGCGGTACGGCCCTGGTGCGATCGGCATAGCTTTTACCAGACGGACTTAGAACCACGATGCAGTCTTCATCTAGGTCCATAAACTCAATAGGTGGGGAGACCGGATTCTGATTTGCTGGTTGACGAAGGGATAACTCCACTCTGGCTGAGTCTCTTTCCATCGTCGCCTGTCTGAGCTGCTCCCTAAGAGCGCCTAAGTCGCAGTAAAGATCCCTTAGATGTTTTTGGGTAGAGCGCAGCTCTTCCCTTTGCTCGTCAAAGCTTCCCAGAATCATGGAGCCGGTCCTGCCTAACCGACGGTTTCCAACCATGATTTCATCCAGGTGATGGTTAAGAGTCTCAGCCCAGTGCCTATCCACTTTGGCTTCTTTGACCATATCGACAATGACCTGTCTAGTATCAGCGATGTTAGATTCGACCTCGTCGCAGTGTCTGTCGATGCTTTCGGAGCGAGCGCCGCGAGAGCCATCGGACGTAAGGCTAGAGTCAACGTCGGTCACACGCTTCCTTTTTGTTCGAGTGTAGGCATAAGGGGTTTCGAACGTTCCCCCTTCGTCATTGGCGAGGCTATCCCTAGCTGGCGTTTCTATGTCGCTGTTAGCGCCGCCTTTTAACCTTAGGACGTAATCGCCCGCGTCAAGAATAACTCCCATAGGAGTGTCGGAATTTATAGTCGTTGATATATAGTCACTAGTGGAGTCAAGAAGGGTGTAGTCAATATTATCGCCCGTAGGCTCGTCAACCAGGCTGCGCGGCTCTGGTCGGAGATGCGATGCGACTGGGCCCCCCCCAAAATCCGTGGGCCCTTGCCTCCGCTGAGGGGTAATTTACCGTGTATACCGGCATATCACTTGGGGTAAAACAGTTTTTGTTCGCATGCATCGTTGGTTTTGGCCGGGTGACCTTCCCTTGCGTTTTATCGCCTGCCGCCAGGCTTAGCCCTGATCCCTCTGGCTCACGTCGGGCTAGTCGTGAGTTGCATCCATGTTGTCGGCCTGGTCGGGGTGTGTCCATGCCGGTGCCTGGCGCCTACGACCGGAGTTGCCAACCTCCGGAAGTTCTTCCGACCGCAAACGGCTAAGTCCACGGCCGGGCTTGACCACCCGAGAACTGGCTAAGGTCCCCGGGCGATCCCCCAGCTAAGGGTTGTCGCCTGTACTCTGGTCCGCGACGGCCCTCAGACCCTGAGGTCAGGTTACGCCCACGATTCCTGCCAGCCAAAGGACACTGCAGCTGACTGGTGGTTTATCGCGGGTTGCTCCCGACCCGAGGTATAGGCTCGCCACTCGCGAGAGCACGACTTGGCGTCACGTAACAGCTCACGCGACGCCTGGGGTCCGTCACAACTAGTTTAAACGGACCCGATTTTGAAAACCTCTTAGCGACCGACCCATCTGTCGGCCGGGCGGGGTCACCGCGACAAGGTGGGTTTTCATCGACCCCGTGAGAATCTCGTTAATCCATTCATGCGCGTCACTAATTAGATGACGAGGCATTTGGCTAAGTTATCAGAGCGAGCACTCCTTACGAGGAGCGGGAATCAACCGCCCTCCGCGTGGAGAGTTCGCAACTTACCCCGAAAGCCGAATGAGAAATAGACAGACAGTCGGGGTAAGCCGACTATCATCATGTAACCGCCTACCGGAGGATACATGGGAAATTACTTTTCAGAGGGAGGGGAAGGTCATTATAGGGAAGAAGTTCAAGGAATGCAGGTTGAGGAGGCCTGCAGTTGATGCGGCTGGACGGGGGTTACTACCCGACTCCCGTCCGCGCCTTCACTGCCAAGTTATTGCGATTGAACGTATACCAGCTGAGTTGCGTCCCACGAAGCACCCGTGTAACGAGTCCCTCGAGAAGACCTCGGCTCAGCCCAAGCGATCTGAGATCCCGGAAGCTTTCGGGAACCCAGACGCCACGCCAGGTTAGCGTAGCGGCGACCGTTTGTACTTCGGTCGATAGGTGTCGGGTGCGGATCGCGGCTTTTAGATCCGCTCGATGGTTATATTTTTCGAGTTTGTTAGAATGCCAAGTAACTGGAGCGGAGCCTGAAACGACTTGTACATCACATATAACGGATATACGGCCTCTTGTCTCGTCGCTTATCGTTGCGACGATGTCCGGCTTCATATTACCGCCATGTAACTTGTAGAGATGCTCCGTTTCCACCTCGTACCGCCTGTGATTCGTTTGACCAGGCAGTCATGTCTCAAAATGCGGGATTCATGCGAGCGTTGACAAGTCTGTGAGATATGGGCAAGCGTCTCGTCCACGAGGCCGCAAGCCCGGCACCTGGCCGGACCGGCTTTCCCGCGGTTGACACGTTTGCGAGTCGGCAGTGCGTTTATTCTGATCCGCGCGTACTCTTTGAAGTCCGACGACGGGATGCCATCGGGACGACGAAAGAACGCGACGGACGCCGACTCCTCGGAACATAGCTTCAGTTCCGAGCCATCCACGCTCGCATGGAGGTCCTGCATATGACTCAACTTGAGACGGTGACTCTCCTCGGCCCGACGGGCGCCCGCCAAGGCGGACTTCCCGTGAAGCCCGAAGGCCTCCCGGACCGCCGGGCCTTCGGAGTTCTCAAGTCTTGTAAGTCTTTTGACGCGGTTTTTTGGTACAAAGCGGACAAAGTCCGGATCACCCAAGCCACCCGCCGATGTGGGCGAGTGAATGTACGCGTTCGGGCACGAAGTGGGTAAGTCCAGCCAGCGACGCACAGCGCGACGCGTCTCGTGTGCGAGACACCGTAAGTAGTATAGGGGTCACTATGGTACACTTTCATTTTAAATGCAATATTTCCTAAAATATTTTTTCATAGAAATTGAAATGCAATATTCCTTTAATTATTTTGCAAATCGTGAAACGCAATAATTATTAAAATATTTTTCAAAAAATCTGAAATGCAAAAATACTAAAAATAATTTTCATAGAAATTGAAATGCAAAAAATACTAAAAATATTTTCCTATGGGGGGACTTCGGCACACGTGACATTTAAATGCAATAATTACTTAAAACATTTTTCAAAAATCTGTAATGCACCAAAACATTTTTTAATAGAATTGTTCTATCAAAAATAAAAATCGAAATAACATATTTAATTGCAAAATGTATTAAAAATAAATTGAAAAAATAAATTTAAAAATTAAAAATATAATAAATAATAAAAATAATGGCAAATATAAATTCTATAAGCATATTAGAAAATATGAAAGTCTCTGAGCTTAAGTTAATAGCAAAAGAGGCTAAACTTAAGGGCTATAGTACCCTTAAAAAAATGATCTTATATCAAGAATTAGGAGAGGTCATACAATTTGCGATTTAACAACTTCTGAGCTTAAGTCAATAGCTAGAAGTTTTGATATAAAACAAATTTACAAACTTAATAAAGAATGTTTAATAAAAAAAATTAAATTAACAAGAAAGCAACAACCTTTTCGTAAATTTCAAGAAGATATATTCAAGGATGAAGTTTTTAATAGTTCATTAAACAATAATCCATTTCAGAAGTTAGAAAAAACAATTTTCACTGAAGAAAATTATTTTAATAGTTCATTAGAAAAAACATCAGATGTTTATGATTTGATAGATATAATTCAAATGAATAAACAAATCCAAAAGAAATTTAAAATACATGAAGCTGAATATAAAATTCGGTTTAGAGAAGCTTTAATAAAAGATCTAAAGCTATGTAATGCAAAATACAAAATTGATTATGTACATAAAGCTCTAGATTCCATGTTAAAACTTGTCCAAAAAAATTCAAGTTATGAAAAAGGTGATCAAATAAATATTATAGTGATGAATCCAAATTTAAAAAATACTATATCTACTGGTATGAAATCTGATAATTTTTTAACAAACTTAAAATCAATTATTGTTAACATATTAACTTCAGCTGAAACAATTGATATAACAGAAACTACTTTTCAAGTTCAATTAGTGAAAATACCAAGAGGTTCAAGGAGAACTAAAATAATTAATTTATCAGTTAAAAACAAAAAAAAGTATTATTGAGATTAATAACGATGATAATTTATGTTGTCCGAGAGCTATTGTTGTTGCATTATCTACTGAAACAAACAATATTTTAGGTCATGAATTAGACCCCAATAAAATTAAACAATTGAAGATAGGTAGAAAAATTCAAAAAGATTTAGCTTTAGAATTATGTAATATGTTACCAGAATATAACGAAGAATGATTTACATTGAATGATATTAAGAATGTGGAACTTGCACTAGATATTCAAATAAATGTTATTTGTGCTGAAAATTTAAATACTTTAATTTATAAGGATGAGGATAAAGAAACTAAAATTTATTTGTATAAAAATGGTAATCATTTTGATGTTATTAAATCCGCTAAAGCTTTCTACGGATCGTGTTATTATTGTAATAAGTGCGATAAACCATATCAAAATAAAGATAAACATAAATGTGGTAAAAATAAAAATATATGTAAATTGTGTACATATTATGGTGAGAGATTTGAACATTCAATTAGTACAAAAAATAAAATATATTGTGAAAAATGTAATAGATATTGTTATAATCAAGAATGTTTAGATAATCACGAATATGTATGTGCCTATGTATATAAATGTATTGATTGTAATAGAATATTGTTTAGAGATAGGGAACATAATTGTGGTTATAGTAAATGTAGAAATTGTCTAGAAGAAGTGAAAATAAATGAACATCAATGTTATATGCAAAGTAGATTAGCAAAAGGAGGTAAATGCTTAGTAGGATGTACAAAATGTGGAGGTATAAATAAACCATATCAATGTTCTTATACAGAAAAATATTTGTTTTTTGATTATGAAGCTCAACAAGAAACAGGAACTCATATCGCAAATAAAATAATTGCTCATGATTTTGAAGGAAATAAAATTATGTTTGATACAAATGAAGAATTTTGTAAACAAGTAATATCTGAGGAATATAAGGGTTATACATTTATAGCACATTATGCAAAAGGATACGATTCACAATTTATATTGAAATACTTGGTTGATAACACTCTGAAACCATTTACAATTTATAATGGTACAAAATTAATGTTATTAGAAATTAAATATTTAAAAATAAGAATAATAGATAGTTCTAATTTTATTCAAGGTCCTGTCAGTAGTTTTCCCAAAACGTTTGGTCTCAAAGAACTGAAAAAAGGTTACTTTCCGCATTTCTTTAATACAGTAGAAAATCAAAATTATATTGGTAAATTACCTGATAAAAAATATTATGGAGTCGAAACAATGAAACCAGAGAATAAACTAGAATTTGAAAAATGGTATAATGAAAAAATTAATGAAAATTATATATTTATTTTTAAAGAAGAATTAGAGGCTTACTGTAATTCAGATGTAGATATTTTACGAAGAGGATGTTTAGAATTAAGAAAACAATTTTTGGATATAGCTAGCATTGATCCTTTTTGCTATACAACTATAGCGGGTGTTTGTATGAGTATTTACAGATCAAAATATTTGTTAGAAGATACTATAGCTGTTTTAGATAAAGAAAAAAATGAAAATTATTCAAAACAATCGATAACGTGGTTACAAAATTTTAATAATAAAAATATCTCGCATGCATTAAATGGGAACGAAATAATAATAGCAGGAGCTAAAGTAGATGGATTTGATAATAAATCAAAAACGGTTTATCAATATCATGGATGTTTTTGGCACGGTTGTACTAAATGTTATAAAGATCGAGAAACTATAAATAATATAAATCATGAAACAATGGATGATTTGTATCAAAAAACAATTGAAAGAAGTACATCAATAAAAAAAGGTGGTTATAATCTTGTTGAGCAATGGGAATGTGATTGGATAAATAGCACTACATACAAAAAAATGAAAAAAGCTGATATAGCTGACCCTATTAATCCTAGAGATGCTTTCTTTGGAGGTAGAACAAATGCGACAAAATTAAGGGTAAAAAACACAAAAATGCGTTATATTGATGTATGTAGTTTATATCCAACTGTGAATTATTATGATTATTATCCTGAAGGACATCCCGTAAAAATATTTAATCCAAAAAAATATGATAAAAAATGGTTTGGTTTAATTAAATGTAAAATTTTACCTCCAAGAAATCTTTATCATCCTGTACTTCCAGTTAAAATAAAAATGGAAAAAAGTGAAAATTTATTATTTCCTTTGTGTTATAAATGTGCTGTAGACCAAAATCAAAGATGTGATCATTCTAAAAATGATAGACAACTTATAGGAACATGGACAACAGATGAAGTTAATAAAGCTTTTAAAAAGGATATATTATAACAAAAATTTATGAAGTGTGGCATTTTGAAAAGAAATCAACAGATTTATTTAAAGATTGTGTAGATAATTTTATAAAAATAAAATTAGAAAGTTCAAAACATAATTATAGCTGTAATGATGAGTATATAAAAACAATTTTCGATAAAATGGGTATTTTATTAGATAAATTAAAATTAGGTGATAATCCAGGTAGGAGAGCTGTAGCAAAGCTGTGTTTAAATAGTTTATGGGGAAAATTTGGACAACGACAAAAAATGAAAAAAACTGAGTTTGTTACAGATCCACAACAATTCTATAAAATATTATTAGATGATAGATTAGAAAATATCAATATAAAAATATTAAACGACAATATGATACAAATGTGTTATAATTATAAAGATTATTACGTTGAGAATTTTCATAATACAAATATATTAATAGCTTTATTTACAACATCTAGTGCAAGATTAAGATTATATGAAATGTTAGATAAATTAGGTAGAGCTGTAGCTTATTTTGATACCGATTCTATTTTCTATATAGATAATGGTGTTAATAAAATTAAAACAGGAACAATGTTGGGAGAATGGACTGATGAATTAGGTGAAAATGTACATATTACAGATTGGGCATCTACAGGTCCTAAAAGTTATTATTATAAAACAAACGATAATAAACATCAAACGGTTATAAAGGGATTTACTTTAAATTATCAAAATTTGTTAAAACTTAACGGTGAATCAATGATAAAATTAATTGAACAAAAAAATAAAGATAGTAATATAGAACTAGAATATAATCAAATAACACGTGATACGCTTACTAAAAATATAGTTAATAAGAAAGTTACAAAAAAATTCTCGTTTGTTTATGATAAAAGAATAATATTACCAGATTATGATACAATACCATACGGTTACTAGAATATGATATCCTAATGAGTTGGGAGACACGGTGTCTCCCAACTTTATAATTTCATAATCATGTGCTTGATACCGTAAATATTTTATAGTATATTTATAAAATATACTATAATAGATATTCTATTATAGATATCACTTCCTTTAACTTAGGTCATATTATTAAAATTTTGTTTTTTGTAACTCTTGGTTATAAAAACTCCCTATAATCTCTTCATTGTTTAAATCTATAATTTTATAGGTAATAGGATTTGTGTTTAAAATTTCATTAACTA